CTTCAACACCCCACCAACATCCCGGGCAAGGTTCGACCTCTGCACACCGCACACGACCGCACACACCGCACGACACACGACATTCCATGCATAGTTGATGCGCGCCTGATGCGAATTCGTTCTTTGCGTGTAGGTGTGGACGAGGGAGGAGATGGAGGAGGTGGCGCGGCTGGCGAAGAAGCACAACCTGATCGTGCTGAGCGACGAGGTCTACGAGTGGATGACTTATGACGACGCCACGCACATCCGCATGGCCAGCCTGCCCGGCATGTGGGAACGCACCATCACCCTGGGTGCGCCATCAACCGCACACGCACGACCGCACACGCACACGACTCACGGTGCGCGCTGTGGGGTGCGACGCAGGAAGCGCCGGGAAGTCGTTCTCGGTGACGGGGTGGAAGGTCGGGTGGGCCATCGCACCGCCGCACTTCACCACCGCTCTCGGGACCATCCACCAGTTCGACTGCTTCACACACGGCACGCCCCTCCAGGAGGCCATCGCCGTCGCCTTCGAACAAGCCGAGGTATGCGGCACGCATTCCCCACAACATTCCACATTCCACACCATTCCACACACATTCAACGCATTCCTTAACCGTGTGCGTGTGCGGCGTGTGTCGTGTGTCGTGTCGTGTGTGCGGTGCGAGCAGGAAAAGAACTATTTTCCCGACCTGAAGCAGATGTACTGGCGCAAGCGGGACAAGCTGGTGGCGACGCTGCGCGACTGCGGCCTCGCGCCGGTGGTGCCCAAGGGTTCCTACTTCGTCATGGCCGACACGTCCTCCATTCCGTCGTCCGTCTTCATGGGCAAGGGCAAGGCCGAGCCGGGCATCGGCGGCGACGGCCCCAAGGAAGAGACCCGCAGCTACCAGTTCTGCCGCTGGCTCACGCGCGAACTCGGTACCGCACCCGCGTGTCGTGTGTCGTCGTGTGTCGTCGTGTCGTGTCGTGTGTCGTGTGTCGTGTGTCGTGGAGGGTGCTGAGGGGTGGTTGTGTGGCAGGCGTGGGCGCGATTCCGCCGTCGGCGTTCTTCTCGAAGGAGAACGCGCACATTGCGGAGAACTTTGTGCGGTTCACCTTCTGCAAGCGGGACGAGGTGCTCGACGCCGCGGCCACCAAGCTCCACAAGCTTCGCGACCTCTCCGCGCAATAAGTCGACAAAACCAAATAAAATGCAAATAATAGCCATTATTTTATTTTCTTTATGTATAAATGAAAGAAGAGCTTTAATGGCCATTTTCACTCCAAAACAGTGCCGGAGCACTTGGTTAGCCTCCGGCTCCAATCGGAAACTTGATGTAAACACCAGATATATACCAACATCTCCTCCACTCCAGTGGCGAAACACTGACAATGCTCAAACGACAAAGAGAAGGCGCAGGGACGAAGGAAGAAGATGTGGCAGCCACGCCTTGTTCGGAGGCGATTGTAAAAAGGGCTAAGCTCGAACCGGAACAACAACAACAAGCATCAGCTGTGGTAGCGGCGGCAGAAGAAGCGTGGTTGCTGAACGATCCCAACCTGCTCCTCCTCGTGCTCGACCACAGCTTGCTCCACAGGGTCCTCCCCATTCCTCGTCTACTTCAACACCTCTTCTTCTTTTTCATCTTATCTTTGTTCGTCTCAGGTGCATGCCAGCCGGACGGCTGCGCTGGACCACCCGTTTCGGGGGGCTCAACCGGGCGGCACGGCAGGCCTGGCTGGCCCACTCCATCAGCCTCGCCTTCTCCGTGCGCCTTCGCCTGGCCGGCCACCCGCACCCCGTGGCCTCGCCTTCGCTTTCTCTGCGGCACCGGGTGCGGTGCCTTGCGTGTGCGTGTGCGGTTGTGTGCGTGTCGTGAGTGTGGCGTGGCGCTTACAAGGCAGCCGTGATATATCAGGAGACGCTCATGTTGGACGCTGCGGCCCAAGACTTCAAGCGGTCCGTCAAGACAGAGCAGAAGCAGCGGAAGAATCATATCAATTGCGAACGAGGCCGTCGTTTGCTTCTGAAGGCGGTACTTTTTTGTCGCCCCAGCGCGCGTGTGCGGTGTGTGCGGTGTGTGCGGTGCCAGATGCTGTTGGCTTTGAAGTGATAAGTAAGAAGGGGTTCACGACAACAGGTGGAGGAGTGGAGGACAGGCTGTGTTCTGAAGAAGGCGAAGAAGAAGAGGGTGAGGACCTGGAGGGCCAGTTGAGGCAGGAAGCTAAGAAGCTCATCAAGTGCGCCACCGACATTGCGTGAGACGTGGCAAACGCAGTTGGACACCGACACACTGGCGTCGCTCTTTGATCATCTCCTCCATTCCACCCCCTTCCTTGATCGTGATGACTGAAGGCCGGGTGTTGATCAAAAAGAGAGTGTTTACTACATCATCATCGTCATCATTGTTCTGCTTTCCGCTCCGTCAATATCCACATTCCTCCATTCCAGTCCCTCTCGACGCACACACGCCGCGACGCCCGCTTCGAGCCATCAAAAGCAGTCCAGCGACGTCCGCCCATCGATCCACGCCCGCCGCGCGCGTGCGGCGGACGCCGCCAGCTTGACATGGTTCGGTCCGACGACGCCACCCAGCCTCTCGCACCGATGGTGCAGAGCAGCGCGCGCCCAATGGTGGTCCTCACATCTCTTCTCAGCATGTGCCTTCTTACTCCTACCAAGCACCACCAACAAAACAAACACGTCAGACTCTCGCGTGTCGTGTGTCGTGCGGTGTGTGTCGTGCGGTGCGTTACCTTTGACTCGCCGGGGCGTTTGGCCTCTCTACTGCCTCTCTGCGCGGCGCGGTTCTTCCTCTCGCCGTCCTCCGGGTTCCGACGCGGTCTCCTACATCACCATCACCGACATCAGCCTCGCCGCCGTGCGTGTCGTGTCACGTCGTGCGGTGTGCGTGTGCGGCGTGTGTTGTGTGTGCGTGTGCGGCGCGTGTCGTGTCGCGTGTGTGTGTGCGGCGTACCCAATGGTGGCCATGCGAATGAAGGTGGAGCGGGTGGAGCCGTCGCTCGGCGCGTTCTTGTCGGCGGCCTTCTTGATGGTCCCGTTGTCTCCCCGCGACTCGCCGGGCTTCCCGTGCTTGTCCGTGTCGCTCGCCGCCCGCTGCATGCCGCCTGCCCGCCCGCCGTTCCTCCGCCCCGTCCTGTCCGCCGCGCTAGTCCCGTCAGCCTCCGTGAGTGCGTGTGTCGCGTTGCATCGCGTCGCGTGCGATTGCGTGTGTGTTGTGTGTGCCGTGCGTGTCGTGTGCGAATGGTACCTGTCGCGTCGGTCTTCGGCCCGCCTGGCCAGGGCCATCCGCTGGGACTGTTGTGTTTGGGTGCTGCTGTCCCTCTGCTGCTCAATTCAAAAATGTTCCGTCAACTCGCCGCACGACACGACACGCACACATCCGCCGCACGACACGACACACCGAACACGACACGACACGCGCGGAGGGTGAGGGTGGTGGAGAGGGGGGGGGGTTACCCCGCCGTCGATGCTCTGGGGGATGGCGCGCTTCTTG